CTGTCAACTTCCTCCAGGCTGAGTGGGTCAAAACATTCTAAACCCCGCGGGGACGTGCAAGGGGCCTCAAGTTCACTCACTGTATCAACTGTGGCAGGGAGGTCACGGCGGAGCACCGAGACTTTATCCGCAAAATAGCTCGCAAAAGCCTCACAGCCAATAGCCAATTCCCTACTATTTTGTCTGCCCTGTGGCAGAGTTGTTAAAGACCGAATTGTTCTAAATAATTGGGCCGGGCGAGAGCTAGCGGACGCAATCGCGGCTGCATAGAATTCCTTCTTAGCAGCTTTGACCGCCATCTCGTAGGATTTCATAAGCGTCCTGAAGGATGTTCTCGATGCTTCGTCACGAGCTCGCCGCCACCGTCTCTCTAGCCGTCTAAGCTCCCGCTTCATAAGTCGAAGCCCCTGGGTATACCAAGGGGCCAACCTAGTGCGGGGGCGCAGAGGGCGCCGGGGAGCGATCTCATCGATGGCTGCGGAGAGCCGGCCATGCCAGTCCCCCACAAGCTCATCTAATGAGCCGCCAGGGGGCATCGGATCCCGCAGAGCCAGCTGAAGCCGTACATGGTCCATTTGGCTCCGCGGGCGAGCTAAAATCTGCTCGCCACCTAAACAGGGTCGGGGTGGGAAGTTCAGACGGGCCTTCAGGGCATAGTGGTCCGACCATGGAACTGCCGTAGCAGTAATCCGATCCACTGTGATCCCCGCAGCGAAGATCAGATCGAGCGTGTGCCCGGCCTGGTGTGTGGGGACCGATACACACTGGGAGAGCCCCAGTGCCTCCATGGATGACACTAGGTCCGTCGCCTGGCTGGAGGCCGCGTCATCAGCATGGACGTTGAAATCACCCAAGACCAAAAGCCTTGGGTGCTCCAACGCCCAGCCGGACACGGCCTCGAGCAGGGATGGCAGGCCACTGGTCGGTGCGTTAGGTGGTCGGTACACCAGCCAGATAGGGCTCTTTGATGGGATGGAATGTCTAGCAAGGAAAGATGAGGAGCTGGAGCTACGATATATCTAATGTTCTAATGGGGCCAAAAAAATTTGGAGCTCTAATTAAGTCACCCTTCCTTTCAGTGGCCAGGACCCTTTGCTTAACAAGGGCTTTAGTTTGTTCTAAGTCCATCATTGAAAGAAGCTCTGGGGAGAGATCTAACATAGTCAGTTTATAATGAACTGCCTTTAACCAGGAAGATAGAAATCCATCCTGGAGGATTAACAAGGTAAAATCTTGAGAGGAGTGGATCAACTTAAGCCAAAAATTCATAGAAGCAAGGCTTACCTTGGCCTTAATTTTAATCAGGCCAGATTCTAGGCAGAGGCTTGCACTGGATATGCAGCTAGGGAAATGGAATAATGCTCCTAAGAATTTTTATTGTATTCTTTCTAATGGGGCAAAATGTGAAGATGGAGGTCCTAGGATTGTCTTGTAGAGAAGTTGGGATACTGTTTTGGTCTGATACAATTTAATGGCCGCTGGAATAAATTGCCCACCTTTAGTATAAAAGAATCTTAGAAAGGCCTGAGTGGATTTTGGTCCAACAGAAGCCATATATTCATGGTGGGCATTCCTTGCCCCAGAAGACTGAATTATTACCTCCAGATACTTAACACTACCACCTGCTCTATTTTATGGCCATTTATGCTCCAGGTCCTAAGTTTAGGTCTTTTGCTGAATGATATAATTTTGGTCTTTTGATAACTGACCTCAAGCTGGTTCTCAATTTTGATAACTGACCTCAAGCTGAAGGCCTTCAATCCCCTTCTGAGGCCAACTGGAGTTCTAGTTAACAAAATTGTGTCATCAGCATACAGCAGAGAAGGTATCGACAGGCCAGCTAGAGAAGGAGGGTGTGTGTCAACTTTACCTATGCTGCTAACTGTGTCATTAATATACAAGGCAAACAGCGAAGGGGCCAATATGCAGCATTATTTTACACCTTTCAATGTCTCAATGGGGTCGGTAAGAAGCCCATTTTTATTACGCTCTTTCTAAGCTGTGGAGTCTTGTGAGCAAAAATTCCACTTTGTGAGCTACTGGCATTAAAGTTGTGAGCGAACGATTTGGCTACTGCATAAATTAGTTTGTTCTGGAGCCATGCTTCCTGAGCTAAGACAAAAATGTGTGAGCCAGAGGCTAAATAACTGTGAGCTAGCTCACACTAACTCAGCTTAGAGGGAACACTGATATACTTGACCTTAAATTATGTGTTGGAATGAAAGGCTCGGATTAGATACAGGAGCCTCAGATCAATGGATGTGGCTCCCAATTTATCCCATAACCTATCCCTTGATATTGAATCAAAGGTGGTTTTTAGATCTGTGAAAGCATGCTGACTCGATTACTAGCCTTGGGGTCATACTAGATCCAGCTTTATTGATGGAGAAGCAAGTTAATTCAACAGCTTTTTACCATCTTTAGTCTGGAAGATGGTTCCTTTCTTGATTACACTGATCTGTCCATGTGGATCCATGCTGCAGTCATCTCGAAGCTAGAATATTATAATACACTCTGCATGGGTCTGTTTCAAAGACAACCCTGAAACTCCAGCTGGTACAGAAATGCAACTCTTTTAAAATCAGAATTAGGCAACATATGAATATTACATCTGTTCTGCAGACGCATCACTGATTACCAATTAGTTCCTGGGTTCAATTCAAGGTACTGACTTCATAGCCCTTTATAGCCTCAGCCCCACGGTCCTGAAAGACCACCTCTCCTGACATGACCTGCTGTCACCTCTGTGCTCAAACAAGCCAAGTCTGCTGCAGTGCCACCCTGGGAACGAGTAAGATCAGCAGGTGCCTGTGGAAGGGCCTGCCTGATGAGGTCAGAAAGGCTCCCACACTTCTGTCATTCTGCAGAATGTGTAAAACAGGACTGTTCAGGAGGGCACTTTTATAAAGGGGACAGGAATGTAATTACATGGAATTGTTCAGAAGTCTCTTTTAAAAAGGGACAAGGGCTGTAATTTTATGACAGTTTACTGTAACCATTTCTTGGTTTTACTCCATTATTTTCTCATTTCTGTAATCCAGTTTTTGCATTCCTTATGCCATGTCTTATACTGCTCTTACTTCACTGTTATCATACTCTGTATTCCAATCTTATGATAATGTTTATTATATTTCTTACACAGTTTCTATTGCATTGCTAAATTTTGTAATCTGCCTGGAGTCCCAGTGAGAAAGATGGGCAATAAGTAAAGTAAACAAACAAAATTTTATTATCAAGCCCTGTGCGGAGGAAGGACTGAAGGGAGCCTGTGAATCCCTGAAACATCTTTATGTAATGATGTTGCTACATCTGAACCATACCCCTTGCAAATTCTGATTTACTAACGGAGAAACATTCCCAGAAAAATCAAATAACAATTTCAGAAGGTATCTCTAGAAATTGGCTCAGTTCAAATATAACACAGAATCATGGTTTAATTAAGCAAACCGTTGATCGGGTGAACAACACTAACTTCCTCAAACCAGGATCTGAAGCCAGGTTATAGAGCTGGATTAACCAAAATCAGTCTCAATTATGCAAATGCAGTAGTTTAGTGTAATCCTGGTTTGTTTGCTGCTGATGGCAAATGTGGCTCAAAAGTAAAATTGCTCCTGCCAGTGACCAGACTCCTCCAACCCCTGTTCTTGACACTGAGTCTGTACAGGAAGAGACACCTTTCTCCATCCCTCCCCTCTCTTAAGAACACAGCAATGTGGCACACTCTGTCTATGCATCTCTAAGTGGAAAAAAGCAATATCAGAGGAACTCTGGGTATGTTTTAACTGCCTGTGCTCCAGCCACAAATTGGATTACACAAGCATCCTACTCACATTTGTTTCACTAAAACAATTGACTGGGGAGGGGACTGAAAGATAGCCCCTACCTCAAAGTTTCCCCTCTTTATATCTAATCTATGTTAGCATTCACAGCTGATATTGCTTGGCACCTGCTTGCTCTCTGTTCAGTCAAGTGCATTTAACATGATTCATATATGTTTAGGATAAAATGGAGGAGGGGAGAATGCTGTAAGCCACTTTTGGTTCCCACTGGGGAGGAAGGCAGGGTATAATCAAGTAAATAAATAAAAACAAAATACTTTATGAATGAAAACAGGTGCTCTTCAGGGTGCTTTTGACACTCTAGTAAGACAGGGTCTTGTTGGACAGTGAGGGGCAGGCTGAGATACCAGGAGGCTCTCTAGTGGAGAGGTGGATGAAAAGTGACAGCACAGAAGCCAGGATTTGCTGAGACGAGTCAGGATTCAATGACCATCTTGGAATGAACTGCAGTCTCACAAGCTAGCCGGAGGTAAAATCAACCATGGCTTTGTGTTACCTCTGACCTGACCTATGGGGTTGGATACAAAGTTGCAGTTTGGCTGACAGAGGCATCGTCCATTCACAGAACAACTCCTTCCAGGAATGGAGGAATCCTCCATGAATGAAAGAGCACATTTGAATCCAAATAATTATTAACATTAATATTAAATTAACCTTAAATTATATTCTAGTTAATCCAGTGCAGGTTATTATTATTAATAGTTCATACTGTATTGTCCGGTGCTGGTTTGGTAAACAGGTGTAGGAACAGACATTGATGTGATAGTAGAGACACCAGGATGTGCTTCATCTCCTTTTCTGTCCCGTGCGTCTTCAGAAGAAGAAAGATCGTTCAAGATTTTTCTGTTAAAAATAGTATTAGTACACAAAGGATTTCAGGGACATTTTGCAGAAATCTTCACAAAAAAGTAATACAATATCTACTTTGTGGTGTATTTCTGAGCATTATTTTTTATTTTCAAATTGTGGAATTAAAACTGAAAGAAAGCAGTATGAAGAGAGAACCAAAATTCACTAAGAAAGGTAAACAGCAATACTTTATGGCTTTTGATCTACGGTTATCCTTTCTTAAAATAGCTGGCCTAATATATACCTAAACATTACAGTTATCCATAGGTCTTCTGAGGGTTATAATCCAAGTACTTGTGTTTCAGAGATTCCCAGTTTTTGAGAGAGATATTTGTTGCAGGTGTGTTTCAAAATCAGGCTGGCTTGAAACCCCAAACCTGAATTTCCCATAGAGCCTGTGTTGAAGTTAATATCTGAATATTACTTTTGTATAAAGCACTGACCTGTAAGATGGACGGCGTGCGAGGATACCTCTGGCTTTCTGTGAAGAGCCTATGCTATCCGAGGAATCTTGTGAATCCTCACTCTCCGACAAAGACACCTGAAGGATATACACTATGTCATATTGTATAATAGCAAATGAGCCAGCAAGATGCAGCTTTTTGGTAAATGCAACTTGATTTTTAAAAAGCAATAGCAGGTTTATTCCTAGACAAGTTTCTTTAAATGAAGAACATGCTAAGTACATTCATTATTATTATTAGAGTTTTAAACCTGATCCTATATACAGAGATCAGAGTCCTAACCCATTACATTGTGAAGTGAAAAACAAATATTGAAAAATACATATGAACTACAAACACTATGCTCTGGACATGAGAAAATGGTGAGCCAAAGTTTTTAGGCATGTTAAGAAATGACATTTGTACCCACAGTAGAAACAGTGTCGGCATTAACAGGGCTACTACATGTTTAACAGTCTTCTGCATTTAACCGTCTGGGAAGGAGCAAGAATTGCAGTGAATGGGTGAAAATAAGAAAAGTACTGATTTAACTAACACACGTCTGTAATTTTGCAAAGTCTCTCTCTCTCTCTCTCTCTCTCTCTCTCTCTCTCTCTCTCTCTCTCTCTCTGAAACACATAAATCTTTAGATAAAGTAACATATTATGGAGGAAGAATATAAAGGGAAAAATCTTGTCTTCTCAAGCACTCAAGGTTTTTACTGTATGTGTGTCCCCTGCAATTTGGCAAACACTCATAAATTTTCTGGTCTTCTCCAAGAAAACACATTAACAAAGCTCTTTTATTTATAGTGAACTGAGAAGTAGCAACATAAGATCTACAGGAAGACACAGTCTGTGGGAAAGTATGCTATTCAAGTAAGAAAAAAAATAGTGCTGCTGTCACTATACAAAGGTAGTGCTAAGTTTCTAAGTTGTCTTTTGCCCAGAAGCTGCACTATTTACAGGTTTGAGAAATAACAGGAGTTGGGTTCTCTACATCACAAACAAAACAACCACTTATAGATCATACACACACAAACACGGAGTATATATAGGCATTATATTGTTTAAGTACCCAAACACTACTAGTTAGATATATTTGCTATCAAAAAAATGGACACCAGTGTATCTACTTGTTTTAACATTTCACTCAGATGTAAGGACAAGCTAAAGTTTGACATTAAATGAATAGGCCTTGAGGTTCCCTAGACTAGCATATTCCATAACCCCCTTGCACATGGTGGTTCAACTAGACACATTATGTCCAAATCGGCAAATTACTGTTTGAACTTCCCTTTCAAATCAAAGCTTCAAACTAAGAATAAACTAGGAATAAACTCCTGTTTAGAATTCTGTTTTGCAGGGAGAGTGCAAACTGCACTCTGGATATTACAGCAAACTATGGTTACCCCTCCTGTGCTCCACAAGTTGTAGAAGAAGAAAAATGTTGGGTTTTGTACCCCACTTTTCTCTAGCTTAAGGAGTCTCAAAGCTGTTTACAATCACCTTCCCTTCCTCTCCCCACAACAGGCACCTTGTGAGGTATGTGGGGCTGAGGGCATTCTGAGAGAACTGTAACTTGCTCAAGGTCACCCAGCAGGCTGCATGTGGAGGAGTTATCCAGATTACAGTCTGCTACTCTTAACCACTATACCACACTGGTACAAATGTTCTCTTTTTGTAAGTTAATTGCCCTCCTAGATCCCCACCAGAATCTTTCTTCCTCTCAATTAATTTTCCCCTCTATGCCCCCAAAGAGAAAGAAAACTCCCCATTATTATCATTCCCTTGTGTCCACTCCTTTTCAATGAAGCCTGACTCTTCTTATAGAATGCTCAACAGAACCCAATTCTCTCTTCCACAAGATTAAGACATGAGGGTCAGAGAACAAAAAAACCCCATAAAGTGGGCAGCTGCTGTCCGATCACCAGTCACTGGATTGGCCAGCAACCCCAGTCAACCTCCACTATACTACCCACCTACCAACAAGAACAGTGCAGCTGCCAGCATGGCCCTCTAACAGTATGGGCATGCTGGGAATCCCTTTTGTGGAAATCCCTTCTGTGGCAGTGCTCTGGTCCTCTCACAGAGCCTTAGAAAGGCAATCTTAAGCACAGCAGAAACAAAACAGATCAGGTAACTACAATTCAAGGACTCATCCAGCGCACCACATGCGCTAGACAGACAGACAGATTCACAACTGGTGATTATCAATTTGCACGTAAGTCACCTTGACATGAGTAAAGGCCAAGCACTTGGCTGAAGAGCTAGGATCTTTTGGATCCCAAGCATTTGGACTCCCCCTAGGATCTTCCACTGCAAGTGTGAACTTCTCTTCCGGTATACCGTTCACATTGTCAGGTTTCAATTAGCCACTGGACCATCCCCGGGATTTGTGACAACATACATACTGTGTATACATCTTTATATATACAGGCATGCATAAATCTCTCTCATGCAAATTTTTTCTCTCACACACATACCCAGTCTCCATCTAAAACAGGAGAAGCAGCTGCACCTAACTCCTTGAAAACTAGTTCCCTGGGAATGGCAGGAGCAGAAATGACTATACTTTGCCTGAGCACCATAGTCTATCCAGCAACTTTGGAGTTACAGGGACTCATACTGCTTCTGATCTGGTACAATAATAAAGAGTATCTGCATATGTTTGAACTCTCCCAAGGTTTGAACTTCCTAAGCCTACTCACAGCGCAAAACACTGGAGCCTGAAGTTCAATTTCTCACTCCTCAAGATGTCAGGTTGGGTTTTTTTTATAAGCATTTTTCACAGGTTGGGGTTTTTTTATTATTATTATGAACATGCACTCTATATTCATTATACTGGTGGTGGCACCGGAAGTGATGCTTTGCCACAGGAAATACACTGGTGTGTCACAGGGCAATTATTTCAGGAAATTATTAGTTTCACGGTGAATACTTCCACTAGGAGAATAAGTGAGATGCTGCTAAATGCCCTTCAGCTACATCCACACACAAACAGTGACTTCTTTGTTATACTTTTCCTCTGTCACTATAACGGGTGGATATAAAGCTGTGGTTTTACAGCAGTTACTAAATATAGATTTCAATGCAAAAGGTCATGCATAGCCTTTCCCCTCTCTTGCCCAAGAAGCTACTGTCACACTTGTGCAAAAGATGTTACCAATATGGGAGATGTGACAAATGCAGGATTTCTCCTCTGAGCTACCTTCTTTTACATAAATCGCTGACCAAAGCTAGGACAGCCTCACTGGCCCATTGTCATAAGGGTAGCAAAGCAGCTTTGGGGGTTGTTTGCACTTGTGCAGAGCATGACCCACTGAAGGGTGAGAACATTTTATGTTGCCTGTAGAGAGCTGACAGGCACACCCACTTCCTTAGAAGAGGCACAAAAATAACGGCTAGATCCAGATGATTCTGCATCATTAGCTTGCCATGAACTAGCATTAGTCATCATAGGCCATGCTCCCATTTTGAAATGTTAGACTGCTGCTTGGTATTTCACAGATTCAAGTTATTCATTTGTTACTGCACTTACCAAGTAACACATGAATAAGTAATTCAGACTATCTTTTAATCTTACTGTATAAAAATGCATTTGATTATATATAAATTCCTTATCCTTTTGTGTCCTGTTTTGTTTAATATGTAAACCACTGGCAGGGACTTGTCTTTGTTTTTAATCTATACAGCAACTAATATGATATTAAACATTTTAATCACAAAAACAGATCCCAAACAACTTATAGGGTTTGTGCTAGCCTGAGTTTCCATTTCTCTCCCCTACCTTTGGAAAACATATCACCATTTCATCTGCAGTGCCAAGCTGGCTAAAATGCACTGAGGCAGAATTCAGCCAGAGCTAACAATAAAGCTTCCAAAGACAGTTAGTAGTTACCTGCGTTGATTGCGCTTGTGGTGAGTGAATTACAGAGGAGCTCTGAACTGTATGAATTACTCCCTGGACCTGATCCCCAGGAAGTTGTACCACTGTCACTGGAGCTGGACCTCTAAGAGACATCTAAAACAAATCAACAGCTTTTTAGCTAAATCACGAAACATGCCATACAGATAATTAAAACAAGTGCTGGCAGATAAGATACTATGGGACGTGATTGCAGAACTGTTCTATGGTATTTCCACGGGGTCAGACTGCTCAGACTGAGCATCACTTTTAAAAAGTGGTTCAGTTTTAACACACATAATGTTGGGGCTTGAGGGATGTTAGCTGCTGTATGCATTTCACAAGAGTCCGCACAGGATGACCTTAAGGATCACCTCTGGCAGTCAAACCAACCATGACCTTTGGGACTGTTAAACTTCATTTGTCAAATCTAAAAGGGCGGTTGAGTACCACTCTTGGAAAACAAAACAAAAACCTATGCAAAAACACACAGAAGCTTCTCAGAAAAAATACAGGAAAACAAAGATGCCGCTATTAAAGATCTGAAGTTTCTTAAGTCTGCATCAGACTATAAAGATACACATTTTAAGGTGTGATCTACCAACTACAGTCTCTATTTGTTTCAACACAGCTTACTGCAAAGCATCAGTGCCTAGAGAATTGCAGTCTTTGTTTTGCTTCAGTTTTCTTTGCCAGAAGCAGAAACTTCTAAATAACTGAACAGCAGACTAAGCACCACTTTTAAAGCTTTAGCACAGTTGTTCTGCTTCCGTGGTTACAAGGCAACTATTTAAAAGTATTCTGATTTGAAAACTTTTATGTTAAATACCACAGAGGGGCTCAGCGATATTTCCACAATAATCCTCCCATTACATTATTGAGCTGATCTGCCTTATTTTATGGGATAGGCCATTAGTGTATCTGGATGCATTTTTAATTCCATTCACAAAGATGAAATTTAAATAAAAATCCCTTGTAATTACATACACATACTTAATGTACTGATTTAAAAAAGCAACCTTGCACAGGAAAACTGCAATTAACCTACTTAAAATATTCCTCAGAAGACCGGGCCTGTGTAGCTTTCTTTACCTGTTGAGAAACACGAGAAAGCTGAGCTGCTTGTAGAGCGGTACCTTGTAAAGACGGTGTTTGTGGCGGAGTTGCTGAATTGCTACTGCTGGTTTTGTGCACTTCTTCCATAGTCAGCCTACAAGAAGCCAAAAATAAAGCAAAATGCACAATGTCATAGAGAATTTCATATCTTAACCAAGAGGCCATTATATACTGATGTTTTCCAAAGAGAATCAGAAGACATAATGTGTTATAATTAGTGTCCTGTCGACAAGTATTGTTCTTTATTGTCTCCAGTTAGGGTTCCCAACTACCTGGAGAAAAAAATGCTGTCTCTTTAACAGAAGCTTAGTGGGATATTATTTACTAGGTGATATTATTACTTCCTATGCCATCAAAAGCGTCAGCTGCCCACTCCCACATACTAAGCCTCTATTAAAGGGACAGGATATGTTTCTAAGCCTGATGGAAATTCTACCTCTAGTAATGCCTGCCACCCAGTTGTAACAAGGATACCTTCCTGGCAGGGCACTTTTTGTAGAAAAAGCCCAGCAGGAACTCATTAGCATAATAGGCCACACCCAACAGCAGGAACTCATTAGCATATTAGGCCACACCCTGACGGCACCGCTCATTAGCACATTAGGCCGCACCCACATGTTACCAGAAGTGTGGTTATCCAGCCACACCCACCTTTTGCTTGTTCTTCTGTTTATCTTGTTTGTTGTCAAAACCCAGGGCCTTTTTTTGTAGCAGGAACTCCTTTGCATGTTAGGCCACACACCCCTAACGCAGCCAATCCTAATGAGTTTCTGCTGTTGGGAGCCAGCCGGAACTCCGTTCCTGTGCGTTCCTGCCCAAAAATAGCCCTGCTTCCTGGCATCTGTCAGTATGTACACTTTGGCCCTGCTGAAACCAACAGAACCCATTTTATCTCATTTCTCTTCTGCTTGTCTTGGGGATTTAACAGGATAGGATCTTTCTCTTGCCCCACTCAATTAGATCTTTTCCTCCAAAAGGGGGGGGGAGCGGGAAGAAGTTGACAACTTGACATCTTTGCACTTTAGTCTGCTTCAAAGAACTTTCTGAATCTACGACATGTAGCAGCAGGGCTTGACAAATCCCAGGTACCAGGCCTAACAATTTCATTGTGGTGCCTAGTATTTTCAACCAGGATTTCACTGTAGCCTCTCAGCAATCCTCAGTGGAACTACAAAGCTGATTTATTTTCTTGCATCAGAATATGTTTTATTGTTTGACATAAATAACCTAACAGGATATGATCCTTCTCCTCTGCCCCTCCCAAACAGATCTTTTCCTACACAGGGAAAATGAAGGGGGAAGAAGTCAAGGTCTTTGCTTTCCTTCAGAACCTGAAATAAAAATAATTTTGATTGAAGAGCTTGTCATTGTTTGTTTATATGTAGACCTTCCTTTACACCATCTAATGAGGGGGAGGGGTAGATAAATCCATTTCTTAATCAGCTGCCCACTATATTAGCTCCAGTATTCAATTAAATGGAGTTCTTTAAAAACAATAATGAAATTATGAGAAACTGGGGAGAAGAAGTTGGATTAGAGTTAGCAATTAGCTTTTTATTGTGCTGATGACAACCATGATCACTCCCATATTTATTTATATGCTGCCACACTTTTTTCTTCGCATTGATAAAACTACAAAAAACTGAACAGAAGTATTATATTGTTGTTGTTCAGTCGCACAGTCGAGTCCGACTCTTCGCGACCCCATGGACCAGATCACGCCAGGCCCTCCTGTCTTCCGCCGTCCTCTGAAGTTTGCTCAATTTCATGTTCATTGCATCTATGACACTGTCTAACCATCTCATCCTTTGCCGTCCCCGTCTTCTTTGACCTTCAATCTTTCCCAGCATCAGGGTCTTCTCCAGTGAGTGCTCCCTTCTCATTTGGTGGCCAAAGTATTTGAGCTTCAGTTTCATTATCTGGCCTTCCAGGGAACAGTCAGGGTTGGTTTCTTTTAGGATTGACTGATTTGATCTTCTTGCAGTCCAAGGGACTCTCAAGGATTATATTATGTGTTAGCAAAAACTAGAAAATGTGGTCATTAAAATACAAAAACCCTCAGGATGAAAAATATATCTGGCTCCTAATTTTGGGCTGGCTCCCAGATCCAAAGAAAATTTGTCAAGACCAGTGGAACAGTAATGCATTTTATTGTACCTGCCCCACTATTACATACTTCCTCGTCAATAGCAGCATTGTCAGGACTCAAAGAGTGCCAATAAAAATACCCTCAAGGCGTTAAAAGATGATCAGCTAGTTCTGAACATGTTGTTATACAACATCTGAAAGTTGCAAGCACCGTTGCTGAGAAACTGGAAGTTATATTTCTCTCAATGGAAATATGAGTCATTGATTTTTCCTTGCTGAGATCAACCACAGGAGCTCAGTCCTGAAACCTGAAATACGCTCACAGTCTAAAAGTCAACATAATGGAAAAGACTAAAGTGCTTCTTCAGTCCTTTCATTCTTAATCAGAATAACCATGCAACATATGTCATACGAATTTGTTGTTGTTTTCATACAAAATGTTTAGTTCAGATGCAACACTAAACCATAGTTCGATGCTACATAAAGGGCACAGAAGAAACTGCAGGACTCGCTGAAGTCAACTAACTGGCTACTTCATAGTCTGCAGCCAGCCCAATATTTTCCTATTTTCACAACTTAAAATCAAGGCTTTAAAAGCCTGGCACCATCATGGTCTAGAAAGATCTCTTCCATCTGAGGGAGTCACCAATATGACCTTCCTCTAGAAACAAGACATAAAGGTCAGATTCAAAGTGTGGGAAGATAACACAGTCACAGCTAACCATGTAAGCTTTCGATTTTAAAATGAGTTTGTGCCAACTGTATATACAAATACTCAAATTATATTTGTTTTATATTAAAAACACCAAGTCAGAATAAGCTTTACATTAACATGCTACATTCACACTTCTGTTGGTGTTCACAAAAGCAAGTTCAAGTGTTCACACCATGTTCTTTCTCCTCAGCAGGTATTTAGAGGAATATGAACTTGTGGATCTCCTGGCAAAAATATGTAATCTTTCATTAAAATCTGTCTTTATTCCTGAGGACTGGAAGTTAGCTAATGTCACTCCCATCTTTAAAAAGGGTTCCAGAGGAGATCTGGGAAATTACAGGCCAGTCAGTCTGACGTCAATACTGGGTAAGTTGGTGGAAACTGTTATTAAGGAACGAATTAGTAGACACATTGATGAACAAAAACTATTGAGGCAGACTCAGCATGGGTTCTGTAAGTGAAGATCTTGTCTCACTAACCTGTTAGTGTTCTTTGAGGGAGTGAACAAACATGTGGACAAGGGGGACCCAATAGATGTTGCTTACTTTGACTTCCAGAAAGCTTTTGATAAAGTTCCTCATCAAAGGCTCCTAAGTAAACTCAATAGTCACGGGATAAAAGGACAAGTCCTTTTGTGGATCAAAAACTGGCTAATGAATAGGAAACAGAGAGTGAGTATAAATGGGCGATTTTCTCAGTGGAGGGTGGTAAGCAGTGGGGTACCGCAGGGATCAGTACTGGGTCCAATGCTTTTTAACTTATTCATTAATGATTTGGAGTTGGGAGTAAGCACTGAAGTGGCTAAATTTGCGGATGACACGAAATTGTTCAGGGTGGTGAGTACCAGGGAGGATTGTGAGGCACTCCAAAAGGATCTGTCAAGAATGGGCGAGTGGTCGTCAACGTGGCAAATGGGGTTCAATGTGGCCAAGTGCAAAGTAATGCACATTGGGGCCAAAAATCCTAACTATAAATACAGATTGATGGGGTCCGAACTGGCAGAAACTGATCAAGAGAGAGATCTTGGGAGTCGTAGTAGATAACTCACTGAAAATGTCGAGACAGTGTACAACTACAATAAAAAAGGCCAATGCTGTGCTGGGGATTAATAGGAATGGAACTGAAAACAAATCAGCCAGTATCATAATAATCCTGTATAAATCAATAGTGCAACCTCATATGGAGTACTGTGTACAGTTCTGGTCACCACACCTCAAAAAGGATATTATAAGATTGGAAAAAGTACAGAAAAGGGGAATTAGAATGATAAAAGGGTTGGAACACTTTCCCTATGAAGAAAGGTTAAAATGCTTGGGGCTCTTTAGCTTGGAGAAACGACGGCTGAGGGGTGACATGATCGAGGTTTATAAGATTATGCTTGGAATAGAGCAGGTTGAGAAAGAAGTACTTTTCTCCCTTTCTCACAATACAAGAACTCGTGGGCACTCCATGAAATTGCTGAGCAGTCAGGTTAGAATGAATAAAAGGAAGTACTTCTTCACCCAAAGAGTGATTAACACGTGGAATTCACTGACACAGGAGGTGGCGGTGGCTACAAGCATGGACGATTTCAAGAGGGAATTAGATAAACATATGGAGGAGGAGGAGATTGGATTTATATCCCACCCTTCACTCGGAGTCTCAGAGCAGCTTACAATCACCAATCCCTTCCCCTCCCTACAACAGACACCCTGTGAGGTAGGTGGGGCTGAGAGAGCTCTGACAGAAACGGCTCTTTTTCAAGAACAGTTGTGCCAGATGGCTTGCCCAAGGTCATCCAGCAGGTGCAAGTGGAGGAGTGGGGAATCAACCTCAGTTCATCCAGATTAGAGTCCGCGCACTTAACCACTACACCAAATTGGCTACACACAAACTGGAACAAAGATCCATCAGTGGCTATTAGCCACAAGGTATAGATAGGAACTCTGGGACAAGTGATGCTCTGTATACGTGGTGCTTGGGGGGGGGGGCAGCAGTGGGAGAGCTTCTAGTATCCTGGCCCCACTGATGGACCTCCTGATGGCCCCTGGTATTTTTGGCCACTGTGTGACAGAGTGTTGGACTGGATGGGCCATTGGTCTGATCCAACATTGGCTTCTCTTATGTTCTTCTGTTTTTATGAAAGGAAAATTTAGTGAAACGGAAAAATAAAAATAAAACTACAGTTTTACAAAAAAACCTGTTTCTCACAGAGACCCCTCAATTCTAGATCCCCCCCCCCAATTCTAGGTGTTTTTTTTCATGAGCTGGTCCTTTATATTTATAAGGCCCTTCCTTGAAGTAGCTGGAAC